TTCTATTAAAGTGCCTTCTTGATCCATATGTTCTTTTTTTTTTTTTTTAAGTTTAAGCATAACTGGCAAACAGTGTAATGTGAGTTTCAGGTGTACAACATGGCTCAGCAATTCTGTATATTTCTCAGTGTTCAGCACAAGAAGTGCCCTCTTCCTCCCCTTCACCTCCTTCACCCATCCCTCCACCCACCTGCCCTTCCAACCATGTCTTCCTGAGAAGTGAGCTGTTGAATCTCCATTTTCTGGTCATTCCCCAGCTATCTTTCTGTTCTCGGTCTCTAGTTTGAGTCATCTGTGGTCCGAGAGCATAGTTCCTGTGATTTCGATTCCTTTGGTGGTTCACAGGAGTTGTACGGCCCCAAATATGGGCTCTCGCAGTGACTACTCCATCATGTGAGCTTGAGCAGAGTGTCCATACCTCGTTGTTGAATGAAGTATTCTGCCGATGTTAGTGGATGCAGTGGATGGGTGATGCTGGTCATTTCACCTGTGTTCTCATGGAACTTCTGTATCTCTGGGTCTGTCAATGATGGATAAGAGCGTTTTGAATTCTCCAGCTGTAGGAATGGATTCATCTGTTCTCACCAGCAATATTTTCAGTTTCTGTTTCACGTGCTCTGATACTATGTTGTCGATGCATGCACATTAGGAATTGTTGTGTCTTTTTGGAGAATTGACCCCTTCATCATTGGAATAATGCCTGTCATTATTCCTGACAGTTTTCCTTACTCTGTGGTGTGTTTTGAAGGATCATTTCACTGGCCACAGGTTTCTAGCTCGATGTTCCTTTAAACAGTATAAACATTTCATCCTTCTTGATGGCATGGTTTCTGAAAAGAAGTGTGATGTCGTTCTTATCCTTTTTCTCTGGAGTAAGGTGTTACTGCTCCCCTCTCCCCCTTCCCCCACCCACTCCCAACCCCTGCTCCGATTTCCAGAACGGTTTCTTTGTCTTTAATGATCTGTAGCTGAATAGTCTAGATTAGGCAACATTGGTGGGTGTTTTTTTTTTTTTTCGTTGTTTGTGTGTGTGTTTTGGTATTTATCCTGCTTTCAATGTTTTGATTTTCTTGGATCTTGATTTGGTAACTCCATTAATTTTGGACAATCCTCTGTCATTATTGCTTCAAATATCTCTCTGTCCACTCTCCTATAGGAATAGGTATTCTGTTATGTGTGTGTTACACATTTTGTAATGACCTACCAGTCTTGGCTTTTCTATGCTGTCTTTGTAATTTTTGTCTTTGTGTTTCTTTCTTGGAAGTTTCTACTGGCATTCTTTACTGCCAATGATTCTTTCCTCTGGTTTATTTTGAGTCTCTTCATGAAGCCAGCACAGGCACTCTTGACTTCTATAATGGTGGTGTTGTCTTTTTTGACAACATGTTACAATCTTAGAGTTTCCTATCTCTGCCCACATTTACCATCTCTTCTTCCTCTTGTGCACTTTTCCCTTAGACCCAGTATCATACATCGAAGAGACTTTAAAGTCCAGCCTGCTCTCCCCATCACTTCTGCCACAGGAAGTGTGATTCTCGTGCTTGCTGTCATGGTTTTTACCTGCTGCATGCCTTGTAGGGTTGTGTTGAAAGCTAGATACTGTGTCCTGCTAAAGGCAGTGAGGTAAGTGAGAGTTAGGGTGAGGTTTTCTGCTCCTCTGGCTCAGGGTTAGACTGAGGTAGTCGCCGGTGAGACAGGGAGGAGATGGCACTGGAGTTGAGTATTTCCCTCACCTCTGTGGCTTAGTCTTTGGGAAGCCACCAGTTAGACTCTGGAGACATAGTTTCCTTTGAGGACAGACCTTTCTAAGAAGAAAGAACTCTTTTGAGTTTCTTTCTCCATGGGACTATTGCCCCTCTCCCTGCCAATGGAGGAACCTTCCCTTCAAAGAGAAAAGAAAAATATTATGGATTTGGTATGGCCATCGACCTTTCCATTCCCTTGCCCATGGGGCTGGTGAGATGGGCCATGGGAGCTCAGAGGTTCCTAATCAACATGTGAAATTAAAGGAATAACCATGGCTTTCTGATTTCCCTCCCCTGATGCACTCCCCCCAACAACATACTATGACTGATTTATTGATAGCATGGTGATATTCCAATCTCCTGGCAAGATTTGGGGGTTGGCCCCAGCCTCTCATCATCCTGTAAAACTTTTAAATCAGGAAATATGTTAATGATGTCCAAATGAGGTCTTGCCTGGATGTTATTGAGCTGTAATAACACCAGGGTGACTCGAGTCTGAATTGCCTGGCTCCCCTTTTTGGAAACATCAGCTGTCATTTCTGTTGTGGCTTATGCTTCATCTCTCATCATGGGCCACTCTTTTTCTCATCTGATGGCTTTTACTTCTTTTTGATGACACTGTGTTTAAATAGTCTGGGAAACTTCATAGCACCTGATGTGCCGTAACTGTGTGTGAATTCAGCAGACAGCCAACTCTTTGTAAGGTTTCAGGAAAGCTTTGTAGAGAAGGAAAGAGGTGGCATATCCTTGACACAGCCTTTGCTCCCTTGCCTGCCTGCCTGCCTTCTTTCCTCCTTCCTTCCATTTTCTTTCTTTCGGGATTTTAAAATAGTCCCAGGTTCTGTACTTCAGTGCAGATACTGGGTTGCAAAAAAGTGAGGGAAATGCACTAAGTGAAATAAGTCCAGTGGAGAAAGTCAATTATCATGTGCTTCCATGTATTTGTGGAACATAAGGAGCAGCATAGAGAATATTTGGAGAAGGAAGGGAAAAATGAATTGGGGGGTGGAGTCAGAGGGGGAGATGAACCATGAGAGACTATGGACTCTGGGAAGCAAACTGAGGGTTTCAGAGGAGAGGGGTGTGGGGAGCCTGGTGATGGGTATTAAGGAGGGTATGTATTTCATGGAGCACTGGGTGTTATACGCAAACAGTGCATCCTGGAACACTACATCAAAAACTAATGACAGACTGTGTGGTGACTCACATTAAAAAACGCTAGGGAAATGATGAATTAATGGATATTTTTTCAATGTCTGCATGATCCCTTTTCAAAATTGAATAGGTCGAACGTTCATTGAATACAATGTGAATAGAATTTGGGGTCAAAAATAAGTTAAACACACTTGTGCTCTTTATCAGAAATGGATTGTGAACCATGATGACTTAATCAGGAAATTCTAATTTTGTCTTCTTTTTTAATCCTGTGAATTCATTCTGCTAAGCAAAGGGATTATTGTAATACCTTTGGTTTACAATTGCAGTATTTATCTGAACTATAGATTTTTACTCGTAATATGTTTTGACATCCAGCTTATCTTTGTTTCTTCCTCTCTTAGATAAAGCCTCGACAATATGAAGGTAAGATTTTGGGCTTCAGTCTTCTTTGCCCACAATTCTCGGTACCCGTGTTTGATGTGGGTATAATTTGACGAGGGATAAATATGGTGACTTCTGATGTCTCACTGACTTGTTAAGTCTGGAAAATGGTTCTCTTCCCCACGTGGAGTCTAAGTGACAATGTGGAGGGAGTTGCCATCTCTAAGAGACCAGGAGGAGGAACTCCTCGTGGGACTAGGGAGAATACAAGGTGTAATTTTGCAGAAAGATGTTTAGGAGGCAAGTGATGATCACAGCGTGAGGTCTGCAGTGAGTACTTCGCCATGAGCTGGCTTTTGGTGAAATGTCAAGAGGAGAAAACTCTCTGAGTCTAGCAAACCGGCTACACTTAGAGAAGAAGGCAGATATTGCCAGGCAGAGCATGTGTCACGAGAGAGGATTAAACCGTGGTTTTGAGTCTGAAGTGGAGGGAGGCTTTCCTGCCAGGGAAGAATGAATGGAATAGAGCCTGTGCCAGAGGGGATCATGGATAGTGAGTGGGGCTCATGGATTGTGGTGATTCCACGGTGCTGGCTGTTGATGGCCTGGGTGGCCACCTGGCGCTTAGAAAACCACTGAATGTCGTTGTTCATCGCTGTGAGTGTGGCAGTGGTGCTGGTGAGAAAAGAGGTCTCAGAGCAGGAGAGTGCTCACAGTGGGCCAGGAGAAGAGAAGTTTGCACTTTGAGGAAAGATGAGAGAATTCTTTTTAAGAGATTCTGTTTATTCATTTGATAGAAAGAGAGAGAGAGCACAAGCAGGCAGAGTGGGAGGCAGACAGAGAGGGAGAAGCAGGTCCCTGCTGAGCAGAGAGTTGGATGTGGGATGCGATCCCAGGACCTGGGATCGTGACCCCAGCAGAGGGCAGACCCTTAACCAACTGAGCCACCCAGGTGCCCCAAGATGAGAGAATTAGGTGGCTCTTAGAGGAGTCTGTGTTCTAGACCTTTCATATGTCATCCAGCTGTGATCAGGATCCTCTTGAGTGTTGTTTTCCTGTAAGGGTGGAGGGTAACATTCTCCTGTTGTGATGAAGAAAGCTTGTCTTCTCGGGCGTGTGCATCATCCAGGCCCTCCAAAGACTCTGTAACGTGGAGATTGTACCCAAGTGTGTTTATAGCAGAGATCTTGTCCTCCAGAGCCCCCAGCCTGGGGTCCATGAAAGGCGATCTGTGAGCAGCAGAAAGTCTCTGGAGGCCTGCGAGTTGTCACTCACCTGACATCTTGAGCTTTCGCTGTGTGGAATTCCAAGTAGGCCCTGGAAGTGGACGTGGCACTGAGCAGGACCAAAGGATAGTTTTGCTCATTTTGGGTTGTTTGCAGGGACCTACTTTTGTATCTGAATCATTGGAGGAGAGAGTGTGAGTTGCTAGGATGCTTGATTTTTCTGTCCCATCTCTGGCGATGACATCAGCATTTGCAGGGATTGAATTTTCCAAGAATGGTGCTTACAGATGGGAGAAAAATGAGAAGACATTCGATTGGTTTTTTTATGTTTGAAAAACATTTTAAGTAGGAATCTCACTGATATAGAAAGTCTTAGGTTTCAAATGCTGCTGCAACTTGCTTTCTTCAGGCACAATGGGAATGTTAGCAAGTTAGTGACATCCACGTGTCAGAGAATGTGTCTCTGGTGCTAATACACTGGGATTATTCAATGTCGCTGTTTTTGCTCATTATCTTAAAATTCTTTTTTCTCCTTTCAGTTACTTTAGACCAAATCCAGATGAAGATTGATGACCTTAAAAAAGAAAACAGGGATCTTGAAAAAACCATAGCGAGTTGGGAGGAGAAGGTATGTGTGCCCTTTCAAATATTTTTTGTGATTTCATTTAGGTTAATTCCCCCTCTGGTAGTTCATTCTATTGATCTATTTCATGCAATCCAGAAATGGTCCTTGAGTAAGAGAAGCTTCAAAAATGTAGAGCACTGCCTCTCTCTTTGTGAAAGGAGTCACAAAGATAGGTTTCTCTAACATGCTGTTTTGGAATTCTGATTCCTTTTTCATATGTTTTACAGATCAGGGAAGCAAAGAAGCAGGCAGAAATGAAGAGAGAACATAAGCTTTCCCTTGCTGAAGTAGGAAGTAAATTAAAAGTAAGAATCCTTTCTTTGCCTGAATTGTGTTCTAACAGCAGAAATAACAGTAATGAAATATTATTATTATTATTATTATTTAAATTATTATTATTTCTAAGATTGATTTGAGAGAAGGAAAGAGTGAGGGGAGGGGGTCTGACGGAGACTGAGAAAAAATGCCAAGCAGACACCGTGCTGAGTGTGTCGCCTGATGCAGGGATCAATCCCGTGACCCTGAGATCAGGACTTGAGGCAAACGAAAGCAGGAGTCAGACACTCCACAGACTGGGCCACCCAGGTGCAACCCAGGTGTCCCAAGGAATGAATCATTGTTACTCATTCAATATATTTTCTTTAAGGAGAACATCAAAAAGCTGGAAGAGATTAATGAAAATTTGAAATACACCCGTCATCTTAAACAGGCTCTCTTACAAGATGAGAGAGAAAAGAACATCAAGAATGTGGCTGTGGTAAGAGTTAGGCGTTAGTTGTACTATAATGTGGCTTGGGAGGCTTTTGGTTCATTGGGTGAGGTGAGTGCAGTGTACTTGTGTGCTGTTTAGGCAGTAGAGCGTGGGCGTCTGGGAACTGCAGCTCCTACAGAACAGTGAGCTGCGATTTCACTTAGGACCACCCCGATGAGGTTTGCAATTTCAAGGTCTAGGAAGTATGGTTTATTTCAAAGCTGGGTCATCACCACATCATTCCGCACTGCCCTCCAAGTTATGTAGAAAATCCCACAAAATACGTGAGCGGTGAAGGGCGACAGCAAGCCCAATTGTATAGTAGAAGATTATTTTATATCTGTTCCACTAAGAAAGCCATTTGTGTGTTTTTTGACATGAACTACTTTCTTTTTTTTTTAAGATTTTATTTTCAGAGAGAGAGAGGGAGAGAGAACGAGCACAGGCAGACAGAATGGCAGGCAGAGGCAGAGGCAGAGGGAGAAGCAGGCTCCCCGCTGAGCAAGGAGCCCGATGTGGGACTCGATCCCAGGACGCTGGGATCATGACCTGAGCCGAAGGCAGCTGCTTAACCAACTGAGCCACCCAGGCATCCCATGAACTACTTTCTTGACTTTCCCCTTATTCTATCTATGCCTCAAGGGATTTCTTTGTTGCCCTCCATGATCCTGTCCTGTTAGGTGCCCTCATATGTCTTTTCTCAATTCTGTCTTAAAGGCCCAAGATGAATTGGATCAAGAGCTGAGAGCCTTGACATCCAAAAAACAAGAACTGAAAGGTACGTTGTTTGGGGGGAAAGAAATCTCCATATGGTGGCAATGAGTTTGCATCGGGCAGGGAAAGAATGCCTTCCGCCTTCACGGTCTAGACCTTCTCCTTTCCCCATTAAAACCGAGTTCTCAGGTCATGGCACAAACACACAAAAGCAAACTCATCCTTTACAGAAAGGAAAAAGTTCCTGGAAGACCAGTGTAATGCCCTGAGTTCTCAGAAAACAGCTAAAGAAGCAGAATTGAACCTGCTAAAGAAGAAAGTGGATATGGTGGTGGAGTTCTCTGAAAAACGAAAACTGACTGCAGAAGAGTAAGCTATTGCTGTGTTATCATTCATACCGTTGTATGAATTTTCGTGGCGGCAAGTGTAGTTAACTGTATCTGGATCTTCTGTAATTGGATCGTAGAGTACTTTTGCCAAATGCATTCTGTAGAATTGTGCCTGCCCTTCCTATCTTGATTTGTGTAACCTGCATTTTCCTTTCTGTTCTAATGACTTGCCACACGTTGTTGTGTGATTCATTGGGGTAGAATGGGGAAGGTACCAGCATTAATCACTTTGATACCTGGATCCCCTCTGGGTCCGTCTACACTGTCCTTTCATTTTCATTCTCATCACATGCTCTTACCACTCCTGCATTAGGTCCATTTCTTGTTCAGTATGAGACTTGGGTCCAGAATGTGGAGAGAAAAATGGAATTCTCTTCCTGCAGAAACAAGGAAAGTTTCTTTGTAGAAAGTGTGCCGGGGCTCCAGCAATACTGGGTCCCTTCATCTGGCATACAACTGAGATCATTCGCTGCAGCCCAAACCCTAAGAAGGCCAGGGTATTTCCTGATTTCCTTTTTCTTTTTCTTTTTTCTTTTTGCTTTTCTTTTCTTTTCCTTTCCTTTCCTTTCCTTTCCTTTCCTTTCTTTTCTTTTCTTTCTTTTTTTTGGGAAGGGGGATTTTATTTATCTACTTGACATAGCGAGACACCACGAGAGAGACAACACAAGCAGGGGGAGTGGGAGAGGGAGAAACAGGCTTCCCACCAAACAGGGAGTCCAGTGTGGGGCTCTATTGCAGGACCCTGGGATCATGTCCTGAATCAAAAGCTTTTAAGCAGATATGTAATGACTGAGCCATCCTGGTGTCCCTCCACACAATTTTCTAGGTATAACTCTTTTGGATCCCAACCAAAGCCTGCAGTTTCACTGAATCTCATCCTTGCTGGCTGGACCGGACCTTCTCTTGTTACATTCCAACCTGTCCCCCAAAGGTTGCTTGTTGATTTACTTTGTATTCACTCGCCTGTTCCAGAATTCCCTGATGTTTCCTGGGGGAGATTGGCTCCGACTGCCAGGCTGGCTTTCTCCTAGGCTTCCTTCTTCTCCATCTGGTTCTCGTGTTTCTTCATGTGCTCTTTAGAAATTGGGTGCATTCACTCACAAGTTTGCTCTCTTGTCCAGTGTTTCCTTTTATATCTCTGGAGGAGATCAGGACATTGGAGTCCCTCATTCATGTGGAAAAGCAGAACTGTTCCCTGTCTTCCCTGGAGACTCAGCTTTGTGTTATCCCTTCCCACACTGGGGGTGGGGGCCGCTCTCTCTCACAGGCACCTGGGTTTTGTTCATTGGTAAGTTCTTCTTGGGACAGGTCCACTGTCCTGACCACCTTTCTCTCTTCAATACCATATTCCTGAGCCACACACTGACTGCTACTCCAGACGACATTTGCTGAAGGATAGTTGAGAGACCAGAAGCAGATGCTCTTGTCCTTCTCTTTCTAGAGCTTTTGTCTGTCTCTAAGTCTTTCTGCATGAGATTCTTGACAAGTGTCCTGTTGAAACCTTGTGAATCAACACCATGAACAAAAGAGTCGAGGGCAGCCCAGCGGACCAACCTTTCTAAGCATCCCCGTTTGCTGCCTTCACCATCCATGAACTTGGTCTTGTTCAAGAAGTTTGACTCGGGGCGCCTGGTGGCTCAGCAGGTTAGAGCCTCTGCTTTTGGCTGAGGTCATGGTCCCAGGGTCCTGGGATTGAGCCCTGTATTGGGCTCTCTGCTCAGCGGGGAGCCTGCTTCCCCCTCTCTCTCTGCTTGCCTCTCTGCCTACTTGTGATCTCTCTCTGTCAAATAAATAAATAAAATCTTTAAAAAAAATGTTGACTCAATGAAGTTGACAGTTTTCCATCTGAAGTCTGCTCCCTGGAGATAACACCCTGAGTATGTGACAGTTCACGTGGATTATTTGCGGACATATTTTCCGCAGTAAGATTGGCCTTTTCCTATACCAGGATCTTTGACGAGGGTCCAGGGGTTGTGCTTCTAAAGCCTAGAGACATGTGGGAGTGAGTTTCCATGCCAGTGAAGCCATATTTTGGAAGGTCCCTTTGGGCTGACTGTGTGGGGCACAGCCTTGGTCTGAGGATCAGGGCTCCCTATGGAGGTGTGAGACTAATGATGGGCCCCTGCTTCATCCTAATGAGTGTAGCTCATCAGGCTTGGCTTTTCACTTTGAATTGAAATGAGCCTTCACCACCTCAAACCAAAGACGTATTCCAAGAGGGCACAAAGTGCAATGTTATCTGGTGACATGGTGAATGAATTAAAGTAGAGAAGTATAAAGACAGCCCCGATTGCAGGGAGCTTGGCCAGCAGCCAGAGTTCGATTTTTCTTTAACCGTAAATGGGGCCTTCATTCATTGCCCTGTTATGTTGTCAGTCTGTGCTTTTAGCGGGGACATTCCAACAGAGGCCATCAAGTGTGCTGGGAGAATAAATGGCAGAAATTCAGGACCTTGCCTACTGGACAATGTATATACCTCTCCCATCTTAGGAAGCTAGAACAGACACTTTGTGAATTAAATGCAACCAGGAATGAGCTGTTAGCTGCCGATGAAAAGCTGAAATTAACCGAAGAAGAAATGGACAAGTACAGGTAAGTTCAGACACTACATACTATTGGCTCCTGAAAAACCTGTTCCCTTTGGATTTTTTTAAATTTTTTAAATTTTCTTATAAACCTATCATGTATTATTAGCCCCACGGGTACAGGTCTGTGAATCGCCAGGCTTACACACTTCACAGCGCTCACCAGAGCACGTACCCTCCCCAGTGTCCATAACCCTTCCACCCTCTCCCTACCCACCTCCCCCCAGCACTCCTCAGTTTGTTTTGTGACATCTTGTTTCATTTATTCTTTTCCTACCCCTCAAATCCCCCACGTTGCATTTCCACTTCCTCATATCAGGGAGATCATATGATAGTTGTCTTTCCCCGATCGACTTATTTCGCTAAGGATAAGTCCCTCTTGTTCCATCCACGTCATCGCAAACGGCAAGATTTATTTCTTTTGATGGCTTCATAGTATTCCATTGTGTGTGTGTGTGTATGTGTGTGTGTGTGTGTATATATATATATATATATATATATATATATACATACACATCTTTATCCATTCATTTGTTGATGGACATCTAGGTTCTTTCCATAGTTTGGCTGTTGTGGACATTGCTGCTATAAACATTGGGGTGCATGTGTCCCTTCAGACCACTACGTTTGTATCATTAGGGTAAATAGCCAGTAGTGCAATTGCTGGGTCATAGGGTAGCTCTATTTTCAGCTTTTTGAGGAACCTCCATGCTGTTTTCCAGAGTGGTTGCACCTGCTTGCATTCCCACCAAAAGTGTAGGAGTGTTCCCTTTTCCGCGCATCCTCGCCAGCATCTGTCATTTCCTGACTTGTTAATTTTAGCCATTCTGACTGGTGTGCGGTGGTATCTCATTGTGGTTTTGATGTGTATTTCCCTGATGCCGAGTGATGTGGAGCACTTTTTCATGTGTCTGTTGGCCATCTGGATGTCTTTGCAGAAATGTCTGTCCATGTCCTCTGCCCATTTCTTGATTGGATTATCTGTTCTTTGGGTGTTGAGTTTCCTAAGCTCTTTATAGATTTTGGATACTAGCCCTTTATCTGATATGTCGTTTGCAAATATCTTCTCCCATCCTGCCAGTTGTCTTTTGGTTTTGTTGACTGTTTCCTTTGCTGTGCAGAAGCTTTTGGTCTTGATGAAGTTCCAATCGTTTGTTTTTGCCTTTGCTTCCCTTGCTTTTGACGATGTTTCTAGGAAGAAGTTGCTGTGGTTGAGGTCAAAGATGTTGCTGCCTGTATTCTCCTCAAGGATTTTGATGGACTCCTTTCTGACATTGACGTCCTTCATCCATTTTGAGTCTATTTTCACGTGTAGTGTAAGGAAATGGTCCAGTTTCATTTTTCTGCATGTGGCTGTCCTATTTTCCCAACGCCATTTGTTGAAGAGGCTGTCATTTGGACATTGGACATTCTTTCCTGCTTTGTTGAAGATGAGTTGACCATAGAGTTGAGGGTCTATTTCTGGGCTCTCTCTTGTGTTCCATTGATCTATGTGTCTGTTTTTGTGCCAGTACCATTCTATCTTGATGATGACAGCTTTGTAGTAGAGCTTGAATTCCAGAATTGTGATGCCACCAACTTTGGCTTTCTTTTTCAATATTGCTTTGGCTCTTTGAGGACTTTTCTGGTTCCATATATATTTAAGGATTATTTGTTCCATGTCTTTGAAAAGAAAAATGGATGGAATTTTGGTAGGGATTGCATTAAATGTGTAGATTTCTTTAGGTAGCAAAGACATTTTCATAATATTTGTTCTTCCAGTCCAGGAGCATGGAACATTTTTCCATTTCCTTGTGTCTTCCTCAGTTTCTTTCAGGAGTACTTTATAGTTTTCTGAGTATAGTTTCTTTGCCTCTTTGCTTAGGTGTCTTCCTAGGTATCTTATCGTTTTGGGTGCAGTTGTAAATGGGGTTGACTCCTTAATTTCTCGTCCTTCTGTCTTGTTGTTGTGTAAAGCAATGCAACTGATTTCTGTGCCTCGATTTTATATCCTGACCCTTTACTGAATTCCTGTACAAGTTCTAGCAGATTTGGAGTGGAGTCTTTTGGGTTTTCCACATATAGTATCATATCATCTGCAGAGAGTGAGAGTTTGACTTCTTTTTTGCCGATTTGGATGTTTTTGATATCTTTTTGTTGTCTGATTGCTGAGGCTAGGACTTCTAGTACTATGTTGAATAGCAGTGGTGATAATGGACATCCCTGCCGTGTTCCTGACCTTCGTGTAAAAGCTTTCAGTTTTTCTCCATTGAGAATGATATTTGCGGTGGGTTTTTCATAGATGGCTTTGAGAATACTGAGGTATGTGCCCTCCGTCTCTACACGTTGAAGAGTTTTGATCAGGAAGTGATGCTGTACTTTGTCAAATACATTTTCAGCATCTATTGAGAGTATCATATGGTTCTTGTTCTTTCTTTTCTTAATGTATTGTATCACATTAATTGATTTGCGGACGTTGAAGCAACCTTGCAGCCCTGGAATAAATCCCACTTGGGGGTGGTGAATAATCATTTTAATGTGCTGTTGGATCCTACTGCCTAGTATTTTGGTGAGAATTTTCGCCTCTGTGTTGATCAAGGATATTGGTCTGTAATTCTCTTTTTTGATGGGATCCTTGTCTGGTTAGGAGATCATGATGTTGCTGGCCTCATAAAATGAGTTTGGAAGTTTTCCTTCCATTTCAGTTTTCTGGAACAGTTTCAGGAGAATAGGAATTAATTCTTCTTTAAATGTTTGGAAGAAGTCCCCTGGAAGCCATCTGGCCCTGGGCTTTTGTTTGTTTGGAGATTTTTAATGACTCTTTCAATCTCCCTACTGGTTATGGGTCTGTTCAGGTTTTCTATTTCTTCCTGGCTCAGTTGTGGTAGTTTATATTGTCTCTAATAGTGCACCCATTTCTTCCAGATTGTCAAATTTGTTGGCGCAGAATTGCTCATAATATGTTCTTATAATTGTTTGTATTTCTTTGGTATTGGTTGTGATCTCTCCTCTTTCATTCATGATTTTATTAATTTGGGTCCTTTTTCTTTTCCTTTTGATAGGTCTGGCCAGGGTTTTATCAATCTTATTCATTCTTTCAGAGAACCAGCTCCTAGTTTCATTGATTTGTTCTATTGTTTTTTTTGGTTACTATTTCATTGATTTCTGCTCTGATCTTTATGATTTCTCTTCTCCTGTTGAGTTTAGGCTTTCTTTGGTGTTCTTTCTCCAGCTCCTTTAGGTGTGGGGTTAGGTTGTGTATTTGAGACCTTTCTTGTTTCTTGAGAAAGGCTTGTATCGCTATATATTTTCCTCTCAGGACTGCCTTTGCTGTGTCCCACAGATTTTGAACCATTGTGTTTTCATTATCATTTGTTTCCATGAATTTTTTCAATTCTTCTTTATTTTCCTGGTTGACCCATTCATTCTTTAATAGGATGCTCTTTAGCCTCCATGTATTTGAGTTCCTTCCAACTTTCCTCTTGTGACTGAGTTCTAGCTTCAGAGCATTGTGGTCTGAACATGTGCAGGGAATGATCCCAATCTTTTGATACCGGTTGAGACCTGTTTTGTGACCCAGGAAGTGATCTATTCTGGAGAATGTTCCACGTGCATTAGAGAAGAATATGTATTGTTGCTTTGGGATGGAATGTTCTGAATATATCTGTGATGTCCCTCTGGTCCAGTGTGTCATTTAAGGCCTTTATTTCCTTGTTGATCTTTTGCTTGGATGATCTGTCCATTTCCGTGAGGGGAGTGTTGAAGTCCCCTACTCTTACCGTTTTGTTGTCGATGTGTTTCTTTGATTTTGTTATTAATTGGTTTATATAGTTGGCTGCTCCCATGTTAGCGGCATAGATATTTAAAATTGTTAGATCTTCTTGTTGGAAAGACCCTTTGAGTATGATATAGTGTCCTTCCTCACCTCTTTTATAATAGTCTTTGGCATAAAATCTAATTGAACTGATGTAAGGATTTCCACCCCAGCTTTCTTCTGATGTCCATTAGCATGGTACATTGTTTTCCACACCCTCACTTTAAATCTGGAGGTGTCTTTGCGTCTAAAATGAGTTTCTTGTAGGCAGCATATTGATGGGTTTTGGTTTTTTTAATCCATTCTGATACCGTGTTTCTTTTGATTGGGGCATTAACCCATTTACATTCAGGGTAACTATTGGGAGATATGAATTTAGTGCCCTTGTATTGCCTGTAAGATGACTGCTACTGTGTATTGTCTCTGTTCCTTTGTGATCTACAACTTTTAGGCTCTCTCTTTGCTTAGAGGACCGCTTTCAATATTTCTTGTAGAGCGTGTTTGGTGTTTGCAAATTCTTTCAGTTTTTGTTTGTCCTGGAAGCTTTGCATCTCTCCTTCTATTTTCAATGATAGCCTAGCTGGATATAGTATTCTTGGCTGCATATTTTTCACGTTTAGTGCTCTGAATATATGATGCCAGTCCTTTCTGGGCTGCCAGGTCTCTGTGGATAAGTCCGCTGCCAATCTTATATTTTTAGCATTGTATGTTACAGACTTCCTGTCCCAGGGTGCTGTCCGGATTTTCTCTTTGTCGCTAAGACTTGTAAATTTTACTATTAGATGATGGGGTGTGGACCTATTCTTATTGATTTTGAGGGGGGTCCTCTACACCTCCTGGATTTTGATGCTTGCTCCCTTGGCCATATTAGGGAAATTCTCTACAATAATTCTCTCCAATATACCTTCTGCTCCACTCTCTTTCTTCTCCTCCTAGAATCCCAATTATTCTAATGTTGTTTTGTCTTATGGTATCACTTATCTCTCAAATTCTTCCCAAGTGGTCATGTAGTTATTTGTCTCTCTTTTGCTCAGCTTCTTTATTCTCTGTCATTTGGTCTTCTCTATCACTAATTCTTTCTTCTGCATCATTTATCCTAGCAGTAAGAGCCTCCATGTTTGATTGCACCTCTTTAATAGCTTTTTTAATTTCAACTTGGTTTAATTGTAGTTCTTTTATTTCTCCAGAAAGGGCTTTTCTTTCTCCGGATAGGGTTTCTTTAATATCTTCCATGCCTTTTTCGAGCGTGGCTAGAACCTTGAGAATCGTCATTCTGAACTCTAGATCTGACTTATTACCAGTGTCCATATTGATTAGGTCCCTAGCCTGCGGTACTGACTCTTGTTCTTTTTTTCTGTGGTGAGTTTTTCCGCCTTGTCATTTTGTCCATATAAGAATATACGAAGGAGCAAATAAAATACTAAAAGGGTGGCAAAGACCCCAGGAAAGTGTGCTTTAACCAAATCAGAGGAGACCCCAAATCATGGTGGGGGAGAAAGGGGGTAAAAAGAAGTTCAGAAAAAAAAATTAAAAAATAAAACAAATAAGGAAATAATATAAAAAATAAAAAATATATATACATATTAGACTAGTGACTAGAACATGGTCACTCACTTAATTTGGAGTGTATTTTGGTCTCTTAGAAGAAATTACCTCCCAAAATTTAAAAAAATGAAAAACATATATAAGGTAAACACAATGAAGGGATGGACTATGACTATTAAGCTGAAAAAAATTTTTTTTAATTTCTTAAAAAGGAGTTGATAGGTAAGTTGGTTGGGAGAAGAAAGAAGAAGAAAGTGGAGAAGATTTGCTCAGGCTTGAGAGTAGAATAAGCCCGGTGGTAGATTTAGGGTGTAGTTTGATCTATTAGAAGAAGTTGCACCCCACATTTTTTGGAAGAAATAACCCTATGTGTGTACAAACACTGAAGTTAGATACAATGAAGGATAACATATGACAATAATAATGAAGGTTGGAAAAAGACTTGTTTTAATGAAAAGTATTGTTAAGGTAAACTAGTTAAAAAACGTTAAAAGAAGAAAGGGTAAAATTTTAAAAAATTAGCAGAAGAAAAAAAATAAATTTAAAGGAAATTAATTAACTTTGCAAGACTAAAGTATTATGAGGAGAAAGCCATGAATTCCATGGTTTGCTTTCTCCTCCTCTGGTATTCTGCTGTTCTCCTTGGTAAGTGAACTTGGTCTTGGCTGGATTTCTTGTTGATCTTCTCGGGGAGGGGCCTGTTGTAGTGATTCTCAGGTGTCTATGCCCCAGGCGGAATTGCACCACCCTTTCCAGGGGCCGGGCTAAGTAATCCTCTCGGGTTCGCTTTCAGGAGCTTTTGTTCCCTGAACACTTTCCGTAGAGTTCCGGAGGTCGGTAATGAAAGTGGAGGCCTCCCAATCTCTGGCCTGGAGGAGCCAAGAGCTCAGGGCCCCACTCCTCAGTGCACCCTCCGAGAAAAGCGCTCAACCACTCCCCTCTCCCTGGCCTTCGGCTGCACTCAGAGCTCACCCAGGCTGTGAACAAGCGTCTCTGTCTCTGGCACACAGCTCCACCTGGAGTCTCCGAACCCCTTAGATCCCTGAGCTCTTCCGGGGGGGTCTCCCCGGATCTTGTGGGGACCCCACTCACAGAGCAGTGGCCTGTGCCATCGATAATGGTTCAAGATGACCCCGAGTTGAGAGCTCACTCCTCAGCTCTGTCTCTGTAGCCAGCTTCCCCGCTCTAATACCTGCAAGTTCTGTGACACTCAGGCACCCCCAATCCTTCTGTGACCCTGCAGGACCTGAGGCCATGCCGTCCCCGCGTGGGCTTCACCCCGGTTTAGCCTCTGGAGCGATGTCCCTCAGTGGACATCGCTTTTAAAAGTCCTGATTTTGTGCTCCATTGCTTGCCAGGAGCCGGACCCTCCCCCCGGGGTCTATCTTCTCGTTGCTTTGGATTCACTTCTCCGTGGGTCCTACCTTTCAGAAAGTGGTCGATTTTCTGTTTCTAGAACTGTTGCTCTTCTTCTCTTCGATCTCCTGTTGGATTTGTAGGTGTTCGGAATGGTTTGATAAGTTATCTAGCTCATCTCCTGCTACCTGATGTCATCTCAGCCTTCTACTTCTCTGCCATCTTGACTCCTCTCTTCCTTTGGATTTTAATGTTTGTACATTTTGAGGACTCAATTAAGTAATATACACCAAAATTCAGAGGATGTATCCAGAGAGAATTAACAGACACAGAAAGATAAGGCACAAAACAATTACGTTACTAAACATGTCCGGATCCTCAGTGTTGGCCTGACTCTGTGGGAACTGGCTCCACACCAGTGTCCTTGGGGTGGTGTCTTGAGGAAAGCAGTTTGTCGTAGGATGAGTCCTACCCATAAACACGGTAGTGCCATCTGATGGCGCTGGTCTTTGCAACCCTGGGAACCATGGCGAGGATAAAAGTTAAAGGAGAATAGAGCTTCATGACAAAAGACATTTGTCATGTGAGAACTGAGGGAAAGATTGAAAACGGGTAAGGAAGTTATGTCAGTTCTGATCCTGCAGGCAAAGAAAAACGGTTAAGGAAAGGCTATAAGAATAGCTTTGATCCTACAGTCCAATTATAGTCCGGTGAAAGTGTTTCCTGTGTCAGGATCAGTTGTATGAGGGGACAGATAAGAGGAGGATGACCACATGGGCAGATGATTGAAAATCACACCCAGTGTTGGGTTTTGTCTGAGGAAAACAATTGTCCCTCACAGACAAGAAGTGGAAGAAATGGAAGATCAGCTGCTGGAGGCTGAGCTCACCTTCAATCACAAGGTAACCTGAGTTGTGTCCAACACACTGACCCCTTGGCGCCCCCTGCAGGTGATGGAAGTGCCCTTTAGAGCCCTGAACATGGGCTTTTGGTGTGTTGGCTTTTTTCAGATCGCAGTTCAGGAGAGAAATGCTGTGGCTAACTGGGTAAGTGTTTTCTTTTTCCTCGTCTTCGTTTGGGGCACAGTCGGGCACAACTGAAGGTGGGTGTGTTTTTCTACTGCAGATGAAGGCTCGGTATTGGGAAACAAGGATGATGCAGCAGAGCAGGGAGAACGCCTACCTGAAATACAGGTGTGAGAGTTTGACGTGCATTTTTATGGGTGTTTGGAGAGGTGACGGCTATGCTGTTTAGTGCCTAGGAGAGGACGTGGTGTTGTCATTCTTAGAGATGTCCATTCTTTCTCTGTGTCCAAGACTGCGCATGATGGAAGGGGAGACGCTGCCTGTGGGATCCATGTGGTGCGGACCGATGCCGGGAAGGCCCGAGTTGCAGGAGCCTCTGTGGCAAGGTAGGGAGCACGATGGGAAATGCAACAGGCTGATTTCTGCTGTGAAACCACACGGGGTCCTTCCTGTTTCTGTGGGTGATCGCTGTGTGTCCTGGAGAGAATCACAAGCCTGCAGGTTGTCTGAAGGGGTGACAGGAGGGTGCTTTCCTCATATGCCCCCAGGCAGCAGGACACTGGCCCCCGTGACAGGTGGAGCTCACGCCGCTACACACCTTCCCCCCTGCTTCCCCCTTCGGAAGAGCTGAGCTGAGAAGGTGGGAGCCGAGCGCCCTTCCCACCTTGACTCAGTGGTCAAGCCTTGGCAAAAAAAAAAAAAAAAAAAAAAGACTATTTGTGAAAAAGGGCATTTATTTACTCATTATGGAGTTTCCTATATTTTTGTTTTATTTGTCATCTATAGGACCATATTCCGCAATGAAATATATTTTACTCCTCTCATGTTATCAGTGTAATGCCATAGCTTTATTGCTCAATCTGCCTATGATTTCTTTGTTCGTGAATATATACATGTCAAAGTCTGTTTCTTCCCTGAAATGTTTATTTGTTGGCCAGTCACACATGCTAGGTCTCATCTGCAGGATGGACAAATGAACCATCCACCTGTGGCCTGAGAAGAGAACATGGGCTGTTCATGTTGAGGGTTTGTGGATGTCACCCACGCAAGGCTAGTCTCCCTTCGATGTTTAATCTATGAAGAAAAAGTGATTTTGTCTGATGTGTGTTGAGCGCCCCAATTTTAGTGTTGATTTCCAGCCAGTTGTACCCCGACCTGTCCACACGTGATGGATAACTTAGAGAAACACTAGATTCAGGGCCCTGGATTGTCTGCCGCAAAAGTCAGGTGACTGGTGTCTCTCTTTGCAAAGGAGTCACTTGAGTCCCGGTGAAACCCTCTGATAAGGGACCCGAGTGTGGGAAAGAGTGCAAGATGGGAGAGGAAGGCTTGGAGGGCATGCAAACCACAGTAAACCTCTGTCCTTTGTCTGATCCAGCACCTAGACCGGTTCCCAGGATGAATGGCAGCACCAGCCCTCAAAGGGACCCAGAGATGGCTTCGGTAAGTGCTGTGGGTGTTTTTAGTTGTGTCTGTTTCTGAAATGGATTGCAGTGTGGAGAGCTCCCTGTCCTGGCCTTGTGGCCTTTGCGTGTGTCCTGCGATCATCCCTTTCAGAGTGCTCGCTGTTCACCCGGGAGCCTCCGGGCTGCTCCGTTAAAGATCTTCAATTTCGTGCTTCCTCCCAAAGCTGTAGATGCTTAGAGGCACGTGACGGTAGGATGTTCACCTCGTGCGTGTGTGTGTGTGTGTGTGTGATCGTGCGCACACGCGTGTGTGCGTGTGTGTAAATAACTCAAGGAGGATGACATCTCACTCCACAGTGAAGTCGGCTAGTCCGGCTGACTCCTGGCGGTTTGCTTTCCTGCAGGAGCAGGAGCATTTTTGGTTTTCGGGTCAGGAGACTAACCTGGGAGGATGTCTGCAGAGGTCCTCACAGATGGAAAATGGGAAAAGCCAGGACGGCCTCACACTTGCGCCACATGCTTTAGGCAGCTTGAGTGTTTGTGGCGAAGGTGAACTGTGACCTCCCGTGCGTCCCATCTGAGTGGAGGAAGACGAGAGCTGGAATCCCTCCAGTTGGCCCCTGGGTGAGAGGATGGTGAACTCTGGCAGGTGCCAGGTGTGTCATAGAAAACGCCCCCTGGAGCATCAGCCCTGAAGAGGGAATCCTGGTGACTCCCCGCACGGCCCACCCCTCACACGTGTTTCAGTTGTGCTCCCGTGAGCGGGTTCTGATGGGGTCTGGTGGCTGTGCCAGCTCATCGCGTCTCTCCCGACCCATCCTGGGGTCCTGCTTCTCTCAGAAAGCACTCTTCCAGGTCGTCTGCAGGAATCTGGACACTCCTATCTCCTCGGCGGTGTCTGTGGCCATGGACAGCCCTTGTGGAGCGTAGAAGACCCCATTGTCAGGGAGGGAAGCAGAGCTGGTCAGGGGGGCTGCTGGTGGGCTGCACTTCCAGGCGTGGAAGCACTTCCGGGCTTCCCATGGCCTCTCGTTGTGTTTGTTCTCAATGTACAGAAGGAGATGCTGTGCTTGCCGTGATGGGGGAGGTGTGGTCCCAGCCGTAGATACCAGCCTGTCCTGAATGGAGTTTTTTCTTAGTGGATTATCCTTGGCGGCACACTCTTGTCTCTGTCGAGGTGCAGACCTATATGAACATGTGCCGACAGTAGTTTCCCCCATGGCATCTGTTCACCCCAGGTTCTAGGTGAGACGCAGAGGACGGGTAGCCATTCTGGCACAGATGCTACTGTCTTGGAACGTGGTGGTGGGGAAGATGCGTGTGCGTGTGTGTGCACCCCTGCCTGGCCACAGTGCACCCCGGGGAAGTAACTGGGGGAGGAGGACCCCTCCCTCCACAGTGAAGTCCTCTGGCCGGCCCGACTCCCCTTAGGTTACGTCCAGATGCACTGGTGTTGTGCTCATGCTGGGGATAGATGGGTCTGGTAATCCTCACAAATGGAACCTGGGGAAAACTCTGTCTGCATTTTATACTGTCTCCTTTGCAGTCTGCAATGATCTCAGGGCATGTTTCACGAGTCATCCCCATTTTACTTCTGCTGGAAAACGTGCCGTGCAGAACCTGCCCACTTTACACCCTTTCTACAAGTATTTTGAAGTGTCAAAACTCTCAGGTGAACCGTCGTAATCGCACACTGGCGCACAAGTTCTGAAGGGGGACGTCAGTGATTACGTGCGTGACCACTGCCTTCCAGCCCTTCAGCTGGGCTTCCAGGAGCGGGTCATTTGGTCCTAAGTTAGTGTGAGAGCTGATTTCTTTTCTCATCACACGTGTGGAGTTTTCCATCGGGAAGCATATACCCTTTTGTGAATTCTCTTATATGGCCTTCCCGTCTTCATTTCCCATTGGACAGAATTACTCTGGAACTCAGTAGGTTGAAATTTCCAAGTGACTCTGTTTTAAGACAAACACAGGGGGCGCCTGTGTGGCTCAGTGGGTTAAAGCCTCTGCCTTAGGCTCAGGTCATAATCATAGGTCCTGGGATCAAGCCCCACATCAGACTCTCTGCTCAGCAGAGAGCCTGCTTCCCTTCCTCTCCCTCTCTCTGCCTCCCTGCCTGCTTGTGATCTCTGTCTGTCAAATAAATAAAATCTTAAAAAAAAAAAAAAAAGACAAAGACAGCTTCTGAGTGTAAATAAGGGTTTTTGGTATCATGTCCCTCGGAAGACACTTTTCCACTGCCCATGTCAGACAACAAGCCTCTAATTCCTCAAGTGTCTTTGTGGCCATGGACAGAAACTGTAGAGAGTAGAGGACCCCTTTGTCAGGAGGCGAGGCAGTGCGGGGAGAGTCAGGGACTTAGAAGCCAACGATTCCCCTCAAGTGGCTCGGAAACTGTGGAGAAAGGGCATTCCGTTTTGTCACATTCTCTCTATTCTGACCAAACCAAAATCTTCTCCGGTGGGTGAGGAGGACAGAGGAAGTATTGTCCAGGATATCGATGCCTCCGTGTCTGGAATGTGCTGCTTTACTCCTTTGCAATGATCCTTTTTCATCTTTAAGACACTACTTCTTGCAGGTGAACGTGGGCAGACATGGGCAGTGATGTTTGGTGACAGGCTATTCCTGTAACAGCCACTGCCCTCTCCCGCCTTATTATACTGGCACCAGCTGGGAGGGGCATGTAAGTTTTCTATCGCAATGCAGCTCCCCTGGAAGGTGGCATCGGAGAAGGAGCCGGGTGCTGAGAGCTCTTTGTTTCGGTTTCTTTTCTTGGTGTTGCAACTTTTGTCTTTTTTACTAAAATATTTTCTTGTCTGTTCTGCAGGTCGGTAGAGGTGTGAGAGAGTTTCCTCATTGCCCAGGGCCCCTCCATATGCCCTACCACATGGGGCGGAATGTACCAGGCTTTCCTCCTCCTCAGCCACACCTCGTTCCTCCAGCACATGGTGAGATGATCTGAATTGACGTGAGTCATAAAGCATATTCATAGTTGAACCACTTCCGTCGGTGGAGAGGATGGAGAGGTGGTACCACAAGGCTTTGCAATGCAATGATAAGCCGAAATGAGGACATGGTAACGTTCCTCCACTTTGGGTGGACGTCCATCTCATGGACTGTCTGGTTCACCGTACAGAACTGGGCAGCACGTGTCTGCCGTGGAGAAGAAAAGTGACATTTCGCAGAGGACAGACACAGGAGCATTGCCCAGGGGGACTACGCAGACACGACGTTTTGGGCTCTGGGCTGGACGAAGCATAACCTTCACATCACTCTCACGTGTGGAGGCCCCAGTTGTCCAGTGTTATAGATTAGTTCTGGAAACATCTGTTCCCTTGGCAGAGTGGTCATATCCGCGAGGGTGAGGGACAGTTCTCTCCTTCGTCTACGGGGGTCAGGGGAGTCCTGTGAGAAACACGAATGACCTGCCAGGGGAAGAGAGTGGAATAGGCTGGGGCAGGGGGAGAGGGTTGGCTTGAATCCTGCGTGGTCATCGGCAGTCTGAATCCACCTCCATCCCTTCTAGGGCTTCCTTCCCTTTCAGAAGCCTGTGGTGCTCAAGGGGACAATAGCAGCACCGTGCCCAAGAAGGTCCCAGAGAAGAACCAAGTAAATGCTGGGGTGTTTTCAGTAGTACCCATTTCTGGAGTCCTGTGCCTCTCTGGGCAGCACAGTGTCCTGACCTGTGTGTGTTGGGTATATCCTGGGGTCCGTGTGTGGTGTCGTTTCCCATTCAAAGTGGCAAGTCTTCGAGCGGAGCTTACAGGCATCTCTGTTTCCAGATCATCACCTTGCGGTGGTGTCCATGGAGCAAAGGCAGAGTTTGTGCTCAGGGCTTGACATTCAAGGGGAAACCGGGCTGGGGATGCAGTAAGATTCTGAAGTTCCTCAGGACACACGTGCGTGTGCCTGGCTATTTGCACACACTGAGCAGTGGGCAGGTGCCCTTGTTGGGAAGGAAGTGTCTCCGTTGCACAACGGCAGACATCTGTCTCTTACTGTCGTGCACGTCCAGCATCCGCATATGTTGTTGTGAGAGGGATGAAGCACCTCTCCCTTCATCTGCAGCGTGTAGGGTTTAAGCTGTCATTTCCTTAGTTGTATAAACACCTGACACAGGGCTGTGGTCCCTTCATTGTTCATTAGCGTAGGGGTCTGCCCTTGTCCTCTGCAGTCTGGAAACTTGTGGGAAATGCTCTTGTCCAGTAGGGGAGGTGAGAACGAGAAACAGTGGCAGATGCCGGAGGCAGGCGTAGAGGGTTCGTTGGCACGTTGCTCAGTCACTTGCAGGGGGAGAAGCTTCTGTCTTTTCCATGGCGTGGGTCAGATACAGATGCTGGAGCGTCCTCCATAAGGACCAGCGGTGCTGCCCACAGGCCTCTCATGTCATGGCGGAGTGAAGGCTGCTAAGGACATGGTAACTTTCTTCTGGTTGTTCTGTAGATAGAATTGATGGACCCTGTCTTCCAGTCCTCCTGAGGGGGTTGGCTGGTCCCTTGTGGTGACAGAGAGCTGCCCTTCTCCGAAAGCTGGACACAGCAGGTGACACACACACATGGTTCAGAGATGATGCTCTGTGCTCTGGGAGGGATGAGGCCTGCTCTTAAGGTGAGGAATTGAGGGTGTGTGTCTGAGAGAAGGGAGGGATGCACTGATGAAAGGACATAGACGGTGTGTTCTGTATAAGGGAAGAACTAGAGATGTATCCAGAAGGACGGGAGGGAGCCCCGAGTCCCACAGAAACAGAAGGTTGTGGATGCCGAGAAGCCTGGAGGTGCTCAGGGAGAGGCTGGGCTTCTCTCAGGGAGGGTGAGGCCGTTCCCGGCAGGCCAGCAGCTTGAGAGTGAGTGTGAGGACACTGTGCGGTCCACACCAGCTGCTGCATGTGTTCACGGACACAGTGTGGATCACGCCGTTATTTGTCTCAGAATGTTGTTTTTGCCATGAAGCCATTCACTCATAGTCTGTGAAGAGCGTTGTTTCCCTGAGTTTCTGAAAATTCTGAACCCTGTGAAAGAGTGTCGTGGAGATTTGGGAAATTTAACTTGGTCTTTGGGGATTCTTGTCTGGCTGACTTTAAGTCCCCCAGTGAGAAAACGTGAAGACAGGACTGAGAACCAGTGAAGGGTGGCCGCCCTGGCCTCAGCCCAAGTCAGACTGTTAGTTGGAGAGTCAGGGTTGGCCAGGAGCCACCCTAGCTGGAGCTCTGTCACCAGGCCTCTGCATCTGCGTCACCACCCTGCCTGCAGCTGTGCACTTCCCCGGGACTTCAGTCCCAGTGCCCTGCGGATTTGCCTGTGTTCCTGATTTCTCAGCCCAAATACCAGCTCTCAGTGGGGCCTTCTCAGGGCCTCAGCTTTTATTTTAATCCGTGATAGAGAGAGCATATAGGATTCTGAGGTCACTAGAGCAGTAGGAGTTGAAGTACATAAAGAACCTGCAGGGGCCCCTGGGCGGCTCAGTCGGTTAAGCAGCAGAATCTTGATTCCTGCTCAGGTCATGATCTCGAGCTTCTGAGATTGAGCCCCAAGTCGGGCTCGGTGCTGAGTGTGGAGCCTATCTGGGATTCTCTCTCTCCCTCCCCTTCTCCCCCTTCCCTCTTCGCTCACAAGTTTGTCCTTTCTCTGTCTCTGTCTCAAAGAGAAAAAAAATAATAATTGGCAAAGTACCTGGGCTCTGACCATTCACTGTTCTCACTGTTTGAATGAAAATAGCTCCCTGCCCATGAGCGTCAAAATATGTTCATTTAAGTCCACAAAATAAACTAAGAGTGTAATACCTCAGCCCAGGTAGTGGCAATTCTCATTTCAAAGACAAGGCAAAGAGCCCCCTCTTTTCTATTAAATGTCAGGTCCTTGCCACAGTGAAGTAAAAGATAGTTAAGAGAACAGGTACAATCAGAGATTTCTATGTGAGATGTGAAGACAATTCTTGCCTATTACATACAGACTCGCAGATGCGGCCACACACTCAAGTGCTCATCCAAGGCCTCAGATACACTATGGGAGGCAGAGAGCATTTAGGAAAGCATAAGGTCCCAGTGTACTAACCCAAATCCTTTTGCCTTACAGGCTAATCATTTTGTAATCCGAAGACTTCCTTGACCTCCTACAACCAGGCTCCAAGGAGTTTGTATTTAGTAAACATATGAATGTTTTCTGCCTGGTGGTCTGAATGCTTTCCCTGCCCATCCTGTCCCCTGTGCTTTGTCTCTCCTGGTATCCCCCCAATAAACCGTTCACGGTTCTGTCTCTGTGTCAGCATCTCCCTTCAGGGGGACCTACAGTCCCTCTCCTTCGAGGGCACAGGGTGAAGCCTTCAGACACAGATAACACCCTGGCAGCAGTGGGGGGATGGAGCATAGAGCAAGATTACCCTTCGTGGTACCTCTACTGCAAGGGACCCCAGGAACCCTTCTGGGGCGGGGGCCCAGCTTGAATTTAGATCCGCTGGTGTTTGTATTCACTCTGGTGACAGATCCTCTTGAGCACATGGACCCTGCTAGTTTGGGGGGGTAGTGATCAGCCAGACAGGTGGCTGTCCCCAGGCAGTGGTCTGCTGTGACAGTGAGCAGAGAAGGAAGTGTCCGGAGAGGCCCTGAGAGCCTGGTGAGGAGGCCCTGCATTAATCCAGGTTTTGTGCAGGGTTTTCACCTTACCAGCTGCCCCCCAACCACAGGGGGGCCTTGAGGGGAGCTGATGGTGGCAGTTTTCTTGGTGAGACCCATGATGCCCCTCAGTCCTCCCACAGGTTCCCTGTTGAGGGATGGACAGGGCAGAGGTCCCTGACAGGAGACCCATCCCATCCTCAGCAGCAGAAGGAGTTGGGGGTATGCTTCTGTCCCCTTTTAGGCCCTTTTTGCCAGTCCCTTCTGCAGCAGAGCTGCTGGATCCTGCAAAGCTCTCCTTCTTCCCAGGTCATGGACGCAGCCATCCTCCAGCAGCTTTGCGGTCATGGCTGGGCCACCGAAGTATCAAGGTCAGTCTGTCCACATGCTGCCCGGGAGCGGCTGGTAACTGCACTGCAGCAGTCAGGGTCAGCCGGAGCAGCCTTTGTAAATGGCATTGTCACGCCCTGTGGCAGGGCCTGGGCCGAATGAGGGCAGGAGAGAGGGGGAGACAGGAGAGGTGGTTCCCTGTGGGGTTCCTGGACAGAGCTGCACAGAATGGAAGGCCTGAGGGTCTGCGGAGTGATAAAGAGACTGTCAGGGTGAGACGCTGAGTGAGTGGTGGGGGGGTTGGGCAAGTGCTAGCAAGGGACAGGAAGTAAGGGGGACAGGGTAGAGAGAAGCAGAGACAAAGAAGAATTTCAAGGATGAAAAGAGGTTGCTGGTCTAGGTGTGTGGAGGTGGAGCATGGACCATGGTGGAGGAGGTCTAGGTAGGGGCTCTGAGCATTTGGACCAGAGAAGGTGGGAATCCTGGGCGTGAGATTTCCCTCAGCCCACAGCTCAGACCTCTCTGGGGCTGAACTGTGCAGAGGCCGTTTCACTTGGGAAGATGGGCCCACCTCTTTCTGCATGGGGTTGTGGGGCGGAGCCTCAGGATCTGTCAGGGAGAGAGACAGCACCCTCTGTCCCTCCAGCTGAGATGCCATGACCCCGAGCATTGCCGGGATGCCCAGGGTGTCCAGCAGAGGGAGCCTGTGCACCTCCAACAGAAAGGGGGGCGGTTTCTCTGCGTGTGCAGCCATGGCCAGCAGAGGGCGTGCCGTTGGCTTTTCTGACCCGAGGGGCCTCAGCAGGAAGGGCTTCTGTAGCCTCCCAGGGATCCAGCTCCAGTCTCACTGCCCCAGGAGAGAGAGCCAGAGCTGTATTTCCAGCAGGTTCCCCCGACGCCCTGGGGAGACCGTGGGGCCCTTGCAGCGACTTCTTGCCTCCTGAGCTGTGACGGAGAAGCTGCCTTGTTGGCTGAGTGCTGAGGAGGGCGCTCTGGGAGCTTCCCCAGGACGTGCTGGTAGGTGAGAAAGTACAGGCGCTTACATATTCGGGTTCTTCCCAGGGTTTGGTCCTCATTTTCCCTGAGGGCATTTGGACAAGCCCTATTTTACTCAGGGGTCTCTGGATTGAAAGGTCAGGGGACACCACATCAGAAATGCTGTGTTTGGTTTGTTACCGATGCTGACTTGTTTCTCGGGAGAAGTCGTGACTCAGCTTCAGAGGAACTGGAGCTACATTGGGTTGGGCCAGGAATGCAAGAACCGCTGACCTTCAGGACCTTCTAGAAGGAGGAGCTGGGATCCCACTCTCTGAGTTCTGCTAGACCCAGTGCCCCAGGTAAAAGCACAGACTGTCCTGCACTGCACCATGCTTTTATTACTTTTCAGTGTTTATTGTCTCCAACGGTGTTACAGTAGTTGGAGAACGAGTGCATAGTTGACAGGTACCTGATTCCATAAGCCTTTCATTCTTTTAAGGTTAAATTTACAAGGAAAACAGGAATTGTTTTATTTATTCTTTCTGGTCTTCATTGAAAGGAAACTCATCAATAATATCTTCAAAACGTGCCTTGTACCTCATCTCCTTTTCTCTGTTTTCTTTTTTCACGATTTTATGCAAGTACAGTGGCGAAGAGGGGGAGGCAGAGGCAGAGGGTGAAGGTGACTCAACACTGAGTGGGGACCCCGACGTGGGACTCGATCCCAGGATCCTGAGATCAAGACCTGATCCACCCAGGTGCCCCTGCTTATCTCCTTCTTTTCAACTGAGATTGGCCGTGATTTCTATTTTTCTCATGAGCTGGTAACAATCTTCAGCAGTTTTAAATTGGTTACAGTTCCCTAAGAGCTCTTTCGCAGGGTTCCACTGAGATTTCTTCTGTTCTACCACTTCTGTCAAGTGTCAAGACCACTTCTCAATATGCGGAAGATTGTACTAAGCAAAATTTGTGAATCAGCGTTTGAAGAGAAAGCTGCTGCTATTTGTTGAAGATATTAAAATAGATGCTTAGCTCCACTGATTCATGCACGTCCCACTTTTTTCTTTTCCTTTTTTTCCCTTTTCCTTTGTTTCCTTGTTATTTCTAATTCAGATATCATAGTCATAGCTTTTCCTGAGTTTTCCATGCCTCACACGTACTTTCAAGGTTCCTTCCTGTCACTTGAAAAGAAAACAGACCTTCTGGTGAGCGTGCGACTTTGTGTCCCTTCAGGATTTGTTGTTTACATCTCTAGTAACGTTTCCCACCCATCTGAAGCTATCATGCCACCTTGGCATATTACAAGAGAAGTGTAATCTACATGCGTCCGTATAATTTCATTTAAGTATAGTGTATTTCTTTATTGGAGATTTTCTGTTTAGGACTAAGGCCTGAGAATATCTTCCAAGTTCATTGATTTTGGAAAAATCATATATCCTAAGTATGAAATTTAGAAAGTTTGCATATTGGAATATGGAATGTGACAGATGCATGATTGCATCTCCTAAATGGAGATCATGTCCCTATTCAGTTAAGGTTATTTGCTGAGCAAGGTGCAAGGGGACATAATCATTGTGGGGGAAGAAATAATGTCTTCCATTCTTTTCCAAACATGCTGCAGTTGCTCCATTATCTTACGTCTGGATATGGGCAATTATTTTTTTTTCAAATTTTTATTTACGTTCTACTTAGTTAACATGCAGTATATGGATATAAGCAATCTTATGATGGTATCCTTTTTTAAACCATTTATTGATTTTATACATGAACATATCATTTTTTCTTCTCCATGCTAAGAAAATCAACAAACGTATCATCTGTTTTTATGACCCAATTCTTTGTTTTTAGGATTTTATTTATTAATCGGAGAGATCGAGAAAGAGAGCATGCATGGAGTAGGTTAGGCAGAGGGAGAAGCAGACTCTGATGAGCAGGGAGCCTGCTGCATGGCTAGACTCCAGGACCCTGAGAAATGACCACAGCAGAAGGCAGGTGCTTAACCCCCTGAGCCACCCAGGCACACCCTTATGACATTCTTAATATGACATCTCTTATCATTGAAGCTTTTCCTCACTGATGGTCTCTGTCTGTTTTCCCACCAATAACCAAGGGGTAGCATTTTTCTTTGAATATTCTCAATAGTGTTTCAAGTCTAACATAATGTTGTAGTTGCATTACAAATTCCTTTTTTTAAATTTCGTTATACAAATAAGACTAGACCTTATTATCACTATATGATTAGGCATATAGACATTATAATAGTCTATAATACTCTAAGTTCAGAATTCTTCCAGAGTTTGGGCTTTCAGTATTTTATTATGATTTCCTAAGATGTAGGTTGTTTATTGCACAAAACTTAACATCTAAATCGCTCCCAAAATATTCTTTCACCTTAAAATATTTTTTATCATTTGCTACAAAGCACAATGGAATAAATTATGAGTTTGAATAATTTTTGAACTTTGTTTTGAAAAGAAACCTTCGTGATGAAATATTATATCTTCATTGTGACAGATTCTGATTCTGTTCTGTGATATCAGTGAGCCAGAGACAGCCCCTGTGTATTGACAGCTGCAACCGGTGAGCTAAAGACCTGTTGCTGGTGCCTAAGTCGGATTTGGTTTCCAGTCTTTTAAGAGATGATGTTTAGGTATTGGAGAGCAGATGTTTAGGTATTGACTGCCTGCCTGCATTCCATTTCTCATGAAACTGTGACTAACATTTCCTTATCATAAATAAAGTCAGTGAGTCAATCAAGCCATCCAGATTAACCCTTCAGCTCCAAAAGACCCTGAACAACTGTTGGCCTTCTGATCCCTGATGCAGAGACCCCGCACCCCCAGCCAGGCTGCAGAAAGGCATTACTTAGGCTCATGTGTACCCAGTTCAATGTCCCCAGTATTGGAAGGATTAATACGGTGATGGGCCACCCCTCTTGCAAACCTGTCAGTCCCCCAGGAAAGGGGGTTGCATGTTACTGCCACCTCATGGTCACATCTTTTTCCTGCAGCCTTGAACTCACTCTACATTCTTCCAGTCTTGGAATGTCTTTTTAAATTTGAAATATTTGTCTTATTATTGCTGAAGAGGATGAAGGGGAAGAAGAGAAAAACGAGGTATCCTGAGAACAAGTGAGCCAGCCAACATGAATCACCTGGCCACATGTAATTTTTTGAAGAGGTTCAGCCCTGCTGTGAAATATCATATCCTCTATTGTTCATTTTTTGAGGAACCTCTACACTGTTTTCCAAATTGGCTGCACCAACTTCCATTCCCACCAACAGTGTGAGAGGGTTCTCCTTTCTCCCAACTTCTCCAACACTTGTTGTTTATT